GATGTCGCTTTTTTGCGTTTATTAATTAATTGTGTTAGGGCATCTCTAACCCAACTCCATTTTTTACTCTAAAATGAAGTAAAAGGAAATATGGAGTAGAAAACACTCCAACCCTACTCCATATTCTACTCCATAATAGAGTTTACTCCATAAATGGAGTAATCTGTTTTTTGTTTGTTCATCACTCCATTATTGAGTGGAAAATGGAGTGAGGTTGGAGCATTTTTACTGCATATACTCTTTTACTCCATTTTGGAGGAAAAAATGAAGTTTTACATTGGAGATGCTCTTACACAAGTCCCTACGCAATTTTTGCTTTGACTTCTGCATTCGATGATTTCTTACTAATGAGAGAAGAAAGATGAACTATTCTCCCTCTGTTATTTCTTTTTTACTATTTCTGGATCTTGTTTTCATTAATGAACGTAAATATATTCTATTAACATGATGAGTGGTGGTTTACCTAAAAATTATATACATGCCCAAAATGCAAAACTATAATTGCATTGTTGCATACATATTTAAATGAGTATGTATGCCTTTTCTTAATATGTATGCATACATATATAGTTGATGAAGAACAAATCATTCTAGTTTAAAATCAGGTTAATGTAAATTGATGTTCCTATTTTTTTCTTATATAAATGTGATTTGCTTTCTCTAGTCATAGTTAGAAATTTCATATTTTGCCGTTCTTGACACCTTATCGGGTATAATTATGAGACTTGTGTTTGTATAATTGATGGATGAAAGATGCTTGGTTACGATATAGTCTCGTTACATGCATGTGTTAGCCAGTTGGATATCAATGGACCTTTCCAACAAAGGAATATCTTTTGGCACTAAAACAAGAATAAAAGAGGGGGGAAACATTAGTTTTAGAAATAAAAAAATCTTAAAGAAATTTAAGGGATAAAGGAATTTGCCATTCGACGAAGGAATGGGGGTTTTCACTTATCCCCAAAAAAGAGAGCAGTCTTGTAACAACTGCAACAATAACAAAAGTTAAAATCATACAAGAAGAAATATACGCTATAATTGGCAAAGTCAGTATTTTCAGTTATTTAAACTTCTGTAATATATAATTTAATATATTTCACGCTTATTTTCTTTATAAGGTCTAGGATGCTACATATATAAATCGTTCTACAGCATCTATTTTCTATTGTTATCTTTTATTTTTCTTCACAACCAAGTTAAGAGGCCATGAATATGGTGGCATCTTTTTCATTAGATAGTGTCTTCTGAGTTTTTTTTTTCTTTCCATTTCTCCAAAAATAGGGGACTTTTTTCTTTATCTCTCTTTTGTTTGCTTTACCAAAAAGGTGATTGGCATAAATCTATTATATAAAATAGAGTATCCTTCCTTCTAAGACCCGCCACGTCAGCGCCAGCGCATAAAGTCCACGTAGGACGACACACAATGGTTCCGTGACCGTGTTGTTTAGTTTCGTGATGGGCTTTAAGGAATCTGGCCCAGAAACACTGAGTCCCCGAAACCTAATTCATTTTGAGCTTTCGAAATAGGCGAGTCCTCTCTTCGTGCGACGGCGGACTCTTGCCATTCTCCTGAGAAACTCTAACAGTGCCCCCATACGAGATCTGCTCACAAACTGTAGTTTCGTTAACGTGTTTCATATTCATCTTTAACACTCCGAAAAACTTCCAGTTACAGATTCTTCTTATTATTGTCCTTCTTTAACTCCATCACCCACCCACGATCTACTTTCAATGGGAGTTCACTCAAGCAAGGCGGTGGAACTGCATAAAAAGTAAACTCTTCGACTCTGAGAACCATCTCCTTATTCCTCCCAGGTTATGACTTTATCAAAGATTAGAAAACAAGTGATAGTTAAGGTTTTGGGGACTTTCTCCCATGTGCGAGATAAGTTGTTAGTTTCATTTTTTTTCCCCTCCTCTCTGAGTTAATTAGGGTTTTTCTGGTTCAATTGGGGTTTTTTTGGCTCTTAATATGGCATGATTGTTAAGATTTTGGGTCTTTTATTGGTTATATATTGCTTAATTAAGGTAGAAAAAGAATTAGGTTCACTGTTAATGGCTGAAAATTTTGGTTTTGTTTAATGAGTTTGTGTAGAAGATCACCTAGAGGCAGAGGAAGAAGAGACAGAGGAAGGGGAACAGGAAGAGGTGGCAGAGGTAACATTTCTGTAGCAATAATCTTTCCGATATCGTACTTTAATCGGAGCTGTAGAGAAAGATTCGATTTTTTTTATTTCATTGTGGTTTTATGTTTGCTCGGATGTATCAGGGGACGGATATGTGAACGTTGAGCATGATGATGGAGGTCTAGAGTCTAAGCGGGTTTCTAGAAGAGGGGGACACGGTGGTCGTGGAAGAGGAGGTTTCAATGGTCTCCACCTTATTATGAAGCCAACAAGACCGAGGAAACTATGGCTACAGTGGTGGTCCTCCACAGGATCATGAGTACAATGATGGAGGCATGGAGCCTGAGCAGCCATCTGGTAGAGGAAGAGGGGGCGGGAGAAGAGGTGCACGAGGGTGGCCGTGAAAGAGGAGGTTTCAGTGGTCCTCCACCTAACTATGAATCTCAGCATGATGAGGGAGACTACAAATACAATGCTCCTCAACAGGATCATGGATACGATGCTCCTCCTCAGTCAACATGATCATGTATACGATGCTCCTCCTCAGTCAACAGGATCATGTATACGAGGCTCCTCCTCAGCTGGGTTTTAAATGTCGAACGGCGACTCTTGGCGATGGGAGGCTCGACATTCGCCACTCGCCATGGCATTTCATGGCCACCGCATTGCGTATCAGCGGCTCAAAAGGTACTTTCTGTTCCTAATACCATCAATAATATGAACAGTACAACTTTAACTAACCTAATGAATGATACGTGAATATAAGAGGTTTGCTTGAAGCCTTGAACAAAGAAGATATGAATTGTACTTGATCAACATGAAGTGTTAAACACTAAAACTAAAGCTAAAACACTAAACCTTTAACTAACAAAACAAACTGTAAAAGAAAAGAGACCTTATGTCGTTAGTAGAGTAGACAAAGCAAAAGAACTTGTGAAAATTAAAGGGGACGTGTTACTATTATATGGTAGATTCACTTAGGGTTTTTAGTTGTTTAGGGTTTCTGTTAGAGAATATTTAGAGTATATAACATGGTATATACTATTTTACTTAATCATTGTCGATTTTGAACTCAAAATTATGTAAAACCAACTTGGTTTGATTATCAACAAGATAGCAATGCTTTGATCGCCTCAGTGTATACAGGTAAAGCGAGCAAAGGCGGTCGACATGTGTACCTCGCATAGCAATGAGGTATTGAGTCGTTTTGGAGGTTGCCTCAGATCGCCTCTCGCCATGGCGAGCAATGCGGTCGCCATTTAAAACCAAGCTCCTCAGCAACAGGATCATGTATACGATGCTCCTCCTCAAGGCCGTTGTAGGATGATGTTTCATTAGTCTTATGTTTTCTTAAATAGCAATGTTAAAAAGGTCTTGCCATGAATCGCTAATGTGAAAAAAGTTGTTGGAACAGGAGGACGTGGGGATAGAAGGGGAGGAGATCGTTTGAATGGACTTTGTTCTGTTTCTTCGTTTTCTTTTCTTCTGTCTTTGTCTATCCAATCACAAGAAGATGTTCCGTAGCATAATTTCTCTTTCATTTTGTCTTTTAGGAAATTTGATTTCTAATTATATAGACCAAAATTTGTTATAAAAGTATATATAGGTACATTTATTTATAAAACCGAATAAACCAAAAATGTTAGTATATATATATCAAACCAAACCAAAATAGATATGATTTCAATATGATAATTAACTTTTATAAACTGAGATACTGAAAAACTTAAAAAAATTTTTTTATTAAATTTTGTTGTTTTCTATAATAAAGTAGAATTTTAATTCTCTATAGGGACAAATTATGCCACATGACAAGGTTAATAATTCTAATTTTGAAATGATTTTGATACTTTTGATGACTGGGTTAGTTTAGACTCCTAAATTATCAGTTTTAGTCAAATTCTATTAAAAATCACCGTCTTCTTGAAAACAATTTAAGAATAACACTACTAAGAGACAAAACAATATCTTAACAAATAATAATTTTATAATTCTGTTCAATCGGAAATAACATAATGTTTCAAATCATGCGTATAGCACAGACCGGCCCTAAATAACGAGATAACATTCAGTGAAACAATTATTGAGGAAAAAGAGCAATGAATTAGAGAAATTCAAGAACATATTGGTGAACTGAATGAAATCTTCAAAGATCTAGCTGTTTTAGAGAACGGGCATTGGGCAAGGAGTTACGATCAGTAAGTAACTCTATTCGCCATATATCATAAATTTTCTGTGTCTCCTTTACTACCTTAGAATCTAAGAAAATTTATAATGTTTATTTAACAGATGATATCAGCTTTAACATTGATAACTCACATGCTGCAACTACAGAAGCCACTGCTCAACTCAGACTTTTTCCTCAATTTCTTTTTAATTCTCTGATCCCGTTTTTAGCAGTTAAAGATAAGTTTCATATATATGTTTTACTTTTGTTGCAGGTATGCCTTCTTATTCACATATTTGGGGCTGTCATCATCGTTATCCTGGTAAAAGACTGAACAACATCAACCAAAGTAGAGTCGAGGAAACTATACAAGTTACCACATTAATATATATATATATATAATCATTGTACAGATTCATTGTACTATAATAATATATGAAATTTGAAGTGTATTATTCAATTTTTTTTTTCAAAGGCAAACCTAAAACACAAATCATAAAATCATGCAAAGAAAAATAACCTAGATCACAATTAAAGTATATCCCGCCCGTAGGGCGGGCCGGCCCTAGTAGTCAATAAAAAATTATGTAGAGTAAAGAAACAAGAACGTTGGGAGGAAAAGCATCAATTTGACATATTTCCATGGATTATCTTTATTAAAAACATTACAAAATACATGAAACACACATTATTTTCTAGTGGTTGTTCGTTTATCCATGAATGATCTGTTTTTTTTTTCACTTGTGCCTTTGTAACGAACCTGTAAATGTTGGGGAAAACCCCTGTAAATAAAATTGGATTTGAGAAAAATGCTTTTTAGAAATAAAGGAAGAAAAAAGGAACAAGGAAATAAGCAAAACACCTGAGAGTATCAATGACTTTATGACACAAGTATTTGTAGTGGATTAGTGTCGATCGTAGCCATGTGTGTGGTTCTATGAAAAGAGGATCAATCTATAAAGGGGCAAGCACCATTCACAGTTTAATAGTTTCCTCCACTATCTTTTGTTGATTCCAATTTATAGAACTTTATAACAAACAAATTTGAAGTTTTTTTTTGATCAGACATATTCATTCATTCATTCATAAACTTCAAACCACACTAATCTCCATAATCGGAGGAGGAAACAAATTTGAAGTTTTAAGTATAAATTTTCATCGAACTGTTACTATTTTTCATGATATTCTCATTGGCTTCTTTTTAAAGCGCTAATATATCATTTTCATAAAGAAAAATTAAGGATCTAATTTTAGATTTATAAATTAAGTACATTCAGTCTTTTCGTTTGAAAAAGTCCATTCATTATAGTATGAACTTTCAATTTTCACTGTATATGAATAGTGATTGATATGCAATTTTAATCATAAGCCACACACGTTATTAGTGTATATAAAATCATTGTACATACGGTTTAGTATTAGCTTTTAGCTAACCGGTTAGATTCGGTTTACAGTTATTCTGATGTGTATATAAACCATCTCTTGTACATTGTTGATAATTAATGAGAATGTTTACGTTTACTCATACACGTATACACATATCTTATCATTTAATTTGAAAATAAACTTATTTATATATGTTAAATATATATAAGAGAATATAATACTTTTAATGTTCTTAAACAAAAAAACTAGTATTATAATTTGATTTAGCTAAAAATAATTTTAATCTTGAAAAATAGATTAATTGAGAGGTGACAAATGTTATTTGATGTTTTAGATAATTTTCAAAATCTTTTATTTGAAAACATCATTGTATTCTATTTTCACTTTTTGATTATTTTTATATAATGGTGAGAATCAGAGGCGGACCCACTAAGGCCATAGTGGGGTCAAATGACACCCCTAAAATGGTGAAATAAATAAAAACGTAAAGGAATTGTTAGAAAATCTGTAGCAAAAGTGGTTGTTTTGTGCTTGTTGACACCCCAAATAACCAAGGATCAAAGCCCATTAACACCATAATCTCTTTTTTTTTTTTACAAACTCTATATTTATGACCACAGTTAAATAAATTTCTGGGTCCGCCACTGGTGAGAATGATAACTTCTCAATGAAAATGCACTAATATAGTACAACAGTATATGTATCTTCCATGTATGTAGTTCGATACATAACATTTTTACTAGAATGTATGTATTATTTGTTAGTTTTGTTACATACCATTGTTTATTTCTTCTTTTGTGGTTCTATAATAATGCTAAACATTTGTTTTAGAATGGTCCTTGAACCTTTCTAAAAAAGTTATAACTTAATTGTAAAAGTATTCAAAGAAATTAGACCAAAACATATAAGATATTTCACAAAGTTTTATATGTTTAAAAGATTTATATTGTTAATATTGAATGCTCAAATAATTTTAGATAGAGAATATAAGTTTGAATATGTGTCACTTGTGCCCATTATTAACCGTCATTCATGATAATGGCGACACTAATGAAAATATTGGGAAATATTTTTGTGCCACTAACTAATTCAAAAGAAATAAGCTGGGGTAATTCTAAAATTTATCAATAAATGTTAATTCTAGATACATAGAAAAAACATCTAGTAACAATAAAGTCTATTAAATTTTCAAAATTCAATAAACCCCTTAATAGACTTGAAACTAAGACTAAGTTTTAGAATCATGAACTTGCAAGCATATTAAGACTTATAGATATGACAAGGTTGTCCCCCTTTATTAGATAGTATGGTTTAATACCTCAGTTGATGGTGTTAATTGTCTTGATATACTCCACTTCACAAACATAAATGAAGTTTGAAGTTAAAGTTTCACCAATGTCATTTTCTATATCCTAATATATATATTCATGTATATATAATTTAGTAGTAAATACACAAAAAATGGTGGAAACTAAGGGATGAAGGGGGAGTAAATATGCACTTGGAGTCTAGGAGGAAAGACCTTGAAGATAGGCCTTGCAGATATCTTGAAAGATAAAGGGAACAATAATTTAGAACTAGACGACCTTATCTACGATTCACTTTTTTCCCATTTAATTTTATTTTTATTTCTTTTATTTTAAAATATAGAAAATAAAATTAAAAATTATTTAATTATATATTTTAATTTTTATTTGTCACCTGAAGGTTTCAATTTTTAAAAATAAAATAAAATCAAAAGACCAGTTACATGCAATATTAATATTTAATTATTAAATAAATTTCGAATGGTTTTTGCATGATAAGCAACATGGAAACAACATGTTGATGTGATTGAATTGAAAAATGTGAATGGGATAAACTGATAAAGGCTTCAAAGAGTTCCTACAGCTTCCAGTGTAGTATGGTAGCGACATCTTTAACCTATCAAACAACATAGAAAATAAAATCAAACCGTAGATACAACCGATCTGATACACATTGTAATAACCTGATCAGTTCTTCATAATTATAAATCACACCCCCAAAGATCTATATATCATCTGGTTTTCCCATTTTTATATTTTTATGGAAGTTGAATACCACGAAGAAAGAGGTCGCGAGGAAGAGAGAAAAACAACTCATCACGATCAAATTAAGCCACATTACAAATTACATATATATATATAGAATAGACATAGGATGATGATAAACGTTCATGATGATGACGACGATGGATTGGTTCATACAGAGCTAGTTTCGGAGAGGCCAAACTCCAGTCCCCAAAGCTCAAAAGCACCCTTAATAAAGTCATAGTAGCCTCCCTTCAAAGCAAGTGTTCCCTTTACAAGTCCTTCTCTCACAAATGGATACGTCAATAAGTTTGCTAGTGAAACATTCACTGCCTCCTGTATAAATTCAAACTTTATATGAATATAATTTCACTTTTAATATAAGATATGCATGGACATCTATTTATATGTGTACCCTTTCACATCGGCTACATTGGTCCTCAAAGGCTGAATCTCCAACTTCTGATTTGACCTTTGACTTGGCTGGTAAACAGATTTTGACCCAGTCCTCTATGAAATCACTGTAATTAACATAATTCATTTCAAACTCATTTAATAATAAAAATTGGTGTTCAATATAAATAAATTAGATATAAAGAGATTTTACGTGGAGTTGTTTCCATCTAAGGGGAAAGACATAAGCCCCTTGATCCCACCACAAGCGCTGTGGCCAATCACCACAATGTTCTCCACCTACATTATTAATGAATTTCAAGTTTATCTCTATTTTTCCTAGGATTTCTTTTGAAGTACAACAATTATGAAGCTCGGTAATTTTTGTTTTTCTTAAGGTGTTAATTGTATCTGTATGTATATTTCTCTATTTTAAAAATTTAAATATTCACCACAGATGTATACAATAAATTCTTTAGACCCAGGGCGACCCATTTTGATGACCATTTATGGTTCGACCCATTATAAAATGAATGGTTCACCTTAAGGTGCAAAACAGCGTATTCAATGGCAGCTCCAACTCCACCGTATTTGACCTGCAAATTTTAGCAAAAACGTACAAATATAAGGTCAACGTCACGTTCCCTTACGAAGAAAGTCAAGCAGTTCTGTCTCAAATAGAAGGTCAAAAGGAGGACAAAAGGAGGACAAGACAAGCAAAAAAAGTGCTAAACCTTGTCAAAAGGAGGAACCATGTTGGCTATGTTACGGACGACGAAGGCGTCTCCTGGCTGGAAGTTGAGAACGTGCGATGGACACACACGTGAGTCCGAACAAGCAAACACCATGTACTGCACCACAAGATTCACACAAACTCTACTTTATAAACTGTTACTTTTGTTTGACTTTTATCCTTTTTAATATAAAAGTTACCTTAGGGCTTTGACCCTTGGCGAGCTCACCATACAAAGCAGGATTGGTGCTGCAAGTTGAAATCTAGCTTAATCTGATTGGTGATATATAATTAAGAAAAATAAAAAATACAAAAAATTACTCGTATTTCTCCTTCTTGAAAGTGATAAAGCCTTTCTTAATGTTTTCGACGGGATCGAAAGCTTTCTTGTCGGAGGAAGCACCTGTCTTAAGTTCTGCAGTGATCTGCTCCACCTTAGCTGCCGCTACCGTCTTTAGCTCTTCCTTCTCGCTGTCCATGTTTATACAACATTATCCGATTAATTAAACAAGATTATACATTACACCTAATTAATAAATTTATAGCCTTTTTATATCTACTAAAAATAATCAGATGTTCATACATATGGAATACGCACGATATTTACTTACACGAGAAGTTTCTTGAGAGCTTCAATGGCCTCTTGGTATGATTCGCTACCCATCTCTTCGCTCTGCCAGTTTGTTGACCAAATAAAATTATAAGAAAATGTATATAATTAAAATGTCATAGCAGTAACTAGTTGATAAAGAGAGGAGCTGGTCGTGTGCGCTAAAGTTGAAACTATAACCAACCTATCCAAGTACATTATACGACAAAGTACGATTTTGTGGTAGGTATAATTTTAACTTTGGATAGGAAGAACGGTAATGTGATTAGGAGGGAAATCGGTAGGTTTAATAAATGACTATAGATGGCGACTTCATCACTACTATGCTCCACACGATCACATATGGTATATGCACAGACACACGTCTCAATTGCATAAATCGTTTTGTTAAAGCTAGTAAATTAATTTCTGTTATCACGTGGATCCTACGTACATCCCAACTTCCAATTTAAAAATGTCGGATTTTGAATAGAGTTGCCATAACACCTTTAAAATTTTGAGGTCAATATTGTTTCACATGAAACATTACCCAGTTCATATTTCGATTTAGAACGTACGTGTTATAAAATGTCGAGACAAATAAATTACACTTGAAGGACACCTATGATGTTTGAATCGCACTAGAAATTACATATTAGTCTTGGTTTGGGTTTTTCTTTCGGTACGATATTAAAGTCCAAAAACAAAACACGGATAATAATAATAGTGAGGATAATAAAAGGAAATGTTCAATAATAAAAAAAGAAACACATGAGAATTTTCCAGGATTTTTGGAAGTTTCTTATGTAACTAATCTATACCGTTAGACGTACTTAAAGATATGAGCTTTTGAAGGATAACACTAAGTGTACTGAATAATTTTACAAATTGTGCTTCGACTACCTCTAACAAAATAAACCTTTAAGAAATGACAGAAACGTAATAAAGTCATCTAACGAGATGGTGAACAAAAAATAACTAGTAAATTTTGAAATTATTGGGTTTTCATATCATTAGTTAACTATAATGTAGGTTAAGAAAAGAGATGAATGTAAAATGTATACCCAGTAAGGGGTGATGATAGGAGCAGGAGCAGCGAGAACGGGCTCATTACGGATAAGGGTTGGAACGGAACGCGAGGAGGAAGAAGAGGAAGGGGGAAGGCAAGCGACGGTGGGAGAAGAACGAAGAGAGAGTTTCTGGAGAGAAGAAGATTGAGAAGGGGAAATAGAGGTGAGGAAGAAGCCGGAGAGAGGAGCGGTCGACGACATTTGCTGGTGAAGAGAAGTTAGTGAGAGTAATATGTATTTTATGGTAGTAATAAGACTTTGTACATGTAATGTTGTAGCTACTACTTAAGTGAATTTTAGTATTATATATCGGAATGGTGAAAGATTTGAGCGTTTAAAAGAACGGTGTCTCATGGGAATGGCGAGGTTGGGAACGAAGATAATGAAAGCGATGGGTGAGGTGAACAAGAAAGTTTATTTTCTTTTTGTGGATGAGGAATGTTACATGCTCTTGTTCTTTCTATTCGTTTTTTTTTCTTTGTGTAATTTTAGAAAATAAAAGGTCTCAATGGGTTTAAAGGATAAGGTCCCTTATCACCAAAACAAGGATCGACCTCTTTCACTTACCCTCTCAGGCTCTCATCTTTAATAAACACCACCCACTTTAGATCCTAGGCCATTGTTTGTGGTGCATAATAAATGATACTTCTCTAAGCGCTCCAAAGGCCAGAGACATGCTATTGTATACACAAATCCAGAAGAGCCCACCATGAGGTCAAAAAAGAGCTCCATGACTGCACAAGAAAAAAAAAAATACATAGAGAGGCCTATGCATGAACTGTTCTATTCTATGAAGCAACAAACCCAAGTGACAACTCTTAGCATGAACATGTAACAAAGATGAATCACAAGACTAAAAAGAGAGAAAAGCCATAAAAAGATATATAGTCCCTCTCTCTCTCTCACACTCTCCACGGTTCTCTCAGATTTTCCATGGTTAGAAATCATATATACGGAAAATTAGGGAGTAAAGTACGTGCTTCTTCCGCTTTTGTTTCACATGTTAAAAGAGAGAAACTGAAGAAGACAGACGAGAAAATGCATTAAGGGTTGGTTTTGCGACTTTATATGTAGAAGTTGGGGGACAATGGCAAAACTATGACGACATTTCCATGCAAACACACACAACATAATGTCAACATTCTCTTTGTCACAAAGTGTGTCGAACGTGGCTTATTTTATTTATTGATTTAGAGAAAAAAATGAAATGAGCGCTGAACTTTTACAAAGACATTAAGTATTCTTTTGAGTATTAGTATTGGATATAGACAGAAGTCTTGTTGAAGTAATATTTAGCTTAATATGCCAATAAATAAACAAAAAGAAAAATCTACTTTGAGACTCTTATTGAACAGACTACAACCGAGCTGCTTTTGCCAACCTAAACCTTTCGCTCTCTGTCAGTACTCTGTCTCGACTACTTTTATGATATATATGCATGCATCCTGAAAAACATCGTAAGAGTTTGCTTCAGAGTTTGCTTCAGATAAATGTCTTAGAGCATAATTATCGAAAGTCCTTAGATAATTTTTTTAAAAAAAAAAAAAAAAAAAACTTTGTCCAAAAAATAAATAAATAAATAAACTACTCATGGGTCACCACGTGTCGTGGGACCCACAAACAGTGTTAAAGACATGACTGAGACGTTTTTTAACTTGGAACATATGGATTCAGTAATTGAGAAAAATGGTAGATCCCACACCAAAAAACTCCAAAGACTAGTATGAGGGACCTGAGATGTTCATGCTCTTACTTCTTGTATCAAGAAGCTAGCGATGACTAGTTCATACTAGTAAATAGTAACATCTCCAACCACTATTATATTGTTAGCTAGTATTTCCTTGATCATCCCTTGAATGACTCTAATCACCGTTGATTATGTACCTGTAGTAGTATCTGCAACGATCACCATGTTTATATACAATACTAATTCTTTTTTCATAAGTTTCCAAACTTGATTATGTACCTGTAGTAGTATCTGCAACGATCACCATGTTTATATACAATACTAATTCTTTTTCATAAGTTTCCAAACTTGATTATGTATGCAACGATCACCATGTTTATATACAATACTAATTCTTTTTCATAAGTTTCCAAACTTGAATCCCCAATTCAACCAACATGCTGAAAAATTACGGAACATTCCTGCTGTTGGACCTTGAGCATAAGCACAAAAAGGAAAAGTCAAAGAAGGCAAGACTTTACTTTCACCCCTAACTTCTGTTTCAAAATTGGACCGCCCTTGTGTTTTGCCTTTGTTGCTTCTTTCCATTTTCCAGAGAAACCTCCGAACCAACAATGCATCATCCCCCTGTGATAGTGCAAACCCGAGGGTGCAACTTAATGTGTATAGGCCAGTCGAGTTGTTCAACCTTACAGAAGATCACTGGTGAGGTTATCGAACAAGCTGGAATTAAACGCCTAAACGTACTATTTTTTTTTTGATTATCTGAATGTTTTAAAGACAAGACCCCATAATTTTTCAAGCCCGAGATCCGGTAGACATTGATGCCCGCCTAAACAGAATAGTTGTGCACAGAAAATATAGTTACTTAGAACATGTTTAATGCATGTTGCTTAGGGAAGTTGCTTAGAGATTTTTAATACATTGACCCCACAAAATAGTTAAGCAATATTTCTTAGAGTACTTAATTAAGTAATCTATTTTAATTTTTACTTACACTATTTGCGGATTCCTCTGACACATGGCGGCTCACGATTAGTTCGTTATTTTTTTTAATTTTTAATTTTTATTTTTTTAAAGAAAAAGAAAATTTAAGCAATCCATGGATTGCTGCAATAAACATGCTCTTAGGGTCAGATGTCAAATAGAAATAACAAAGTTTTCAACTAAAAACCAAGCGGTAAAAGCAGCCACTTACCGCTTAGGCGGCCGCATTTTCGTTTCTAAATAGGATGAACCCATCCTAACCCATACAGAATTTAGTAGAAAGAATACTCACTCATTAAAGATACTATATTCACACGCATGTTTGAACATATTTTTTTAAAAAAAACCCACACATATGCAAGCCAGTAAGCCGTTAAATTGGCAAACATCGACGAGATGAGCATTTTATCATGCATAATCTTTAGTATGATGCATGCTTGTACAGTTGTACTCATGTATTCATATGTGGTCACGTACCTACCTACGCCTCATTTAACTGATATTTTTTTGTCAACCACAAATGGATAAAGGTAGTTGCGTATAAACGAAGAAGATATGTTACCCCTGTGGCGCGTCCAAATACAGACGCAAACTTAGATGGTGACTCATGTTGGATAAGAGGGTATACAGATCTATGTGAACAACTCAATAGCCTTAAAATACCTTGTAACGAGTTGATTTCATTTTAGTTGTGAGTATATAGTAATTAAGGAGCAATGTAAGTTATGATATTTGCTTTTATTCTTTTAACAAGTGTCATAATAGTAGCGGTGATAGTAGAGGAAAAGGAGACCCTTGGGTGTGCGCGTGTCACTGACAGACTGACAGATGGACGGTGAAATTTTTCTTACCTAAAGAATTGAAAGAGAGAGCATCTCAGTCGCTGCCATGGTGGCGGTCTTAGAACCCCCCGACGCACGTGATTCTTCGCAGCATTGCACGTGCATGGCTCAAGCAATGTGCTTATAAAGGCAGCAAACAAAGAGAAAAAGGCTTCAACGACGCTGCTTATTAGATCTTGGAAACCACGACCAAATATATACTACTAATATCCTAATTAGCTTTAATTCAATCTACGTAAAGTTTTAAATAATTACTATTACTAAATTCCATGTTGAATGTTAATAATCAAATATACTCGGTTCATTTCGTTGACATATGGTAAGTGAACATCGAAGTGCTCAGAGACTTCTTTTTCCCTGAGATACTATTAATTTGAAAGAAGGATCGAAAATAATGCATCAAAGGTAATCTATGTAAGATTTTGAACCATGGTTTTGATTGGATGATTGTATTATTATACGGTCCATCATGAAAAGGTTATACAGATTGTACTAAATCGGGATGTAGTTGGTTTTAATCAAGAAACATAAACAATAAAATAAGTATATATGGACGGGTTGCATAGGAATGCACATGAGGGGCCGAGTTCCCGTAATTTGATTCTCTCTGTCTTCGGGACTCATCAAACACAAAGTCCTCATATTTCCTCTAAATCCGTATCCAATTAAATTTAACGGACTCGTTCCACCAACTTTATTAACCAGAACAGTCGACTTCACCTAAGCTACATGCAGAAATATTTGTCCTAGATCTTTAAAAAACATGAAGTATATAGTTTCTTCAGATTGATAAAAATTTGCCTCTTTAATTTTTCGTTTAAGTTACAACTTATTTAAAAAGTAAAAGTACAATTTGTCAAAAAAAAAAAAAAAAAAAGAAGAGAGCTTTCGTTAGCTGCTAAAATGGATTGAACTTAAAATATTCAAGACCCTGACACATGTATATGAGTCTTGTGTACTTAAGTTACCAGGAAAGAGAGAGAAAACGAGAAATTAATTTCAAAAAGTAAACATAGAAAAAGAGAAGCTCTATCAAAGTTATATATACATGTATTTATAGATCAGATCACATCTTCTTCTTCTCCTTCCCAAACTCATAAGAACATAAATTAAAACAGAATATCTTACCATATACAGAACATGTCAAGTTAACAACAGAACTGAGTTTTTTTTTGTTGTAACTGATGTCTTCATCCGGGGAAGCGTTTTAAATAAGATCAGTGGCTTTTGAGTTAGCTAACTACTCCAACGAACCAAAGGTATGTAACAATTTGATCCTTCTCCATTTTTGTTCACCCCACTGACCTTACTGCTTCTAGTTTTTATTTTCCCAAAAAACAAGTTAGGGAATGTTGTCTCAGTCCTTTCTAAAACATCTTAATACGTAGTCTTTATGTTTACAGTATACTGTTCATTGATTCAAATCATTATCAAAACATTTTTTAGAATGGAAATGGATATAAATGTAGCCACACGGGACAAAAAAAAGTAGTAGTTTCGTTTATCAAAACTTTGATTGAATTACCTAGTTAGTAGTTTTACAAAAATACATTTGAAATAATCCTTTCAATAGGCGTTTTCATTTTAAAATTATTTTACTTAGGGAATATTAAAAGAGTAAAATATTTTACCAAAAAAAAATCGTGATGACAACCCAGAAAAAAACAAATACAGTTCTATTTATACACCTACAGAAACATTTTTTTTTCCATTGTGTGAAAAAGTATAGAATAGTACACGATCAAAGCAGTTTGATTTCTTTTTTTGATAAAAAAGAAAAAAAAAGCACTCAGTTGGTTTTAAATTCGTTTATAAAACTTACACTACACAACTATTGTTTTTGAATTTAGACCGGTTTTACCTTATACAAGTGAAAAGTGACAATCATACTCTTTTACCTTTTGATTTATATTAGTGGATAGTGTTATGATAGATAATAGTCACACATGACATAAATCATAACAAAACGAAGTCGGTATTTTTTGGTTGACTGCAAATTGTTTTACAAATCCTAGGGTGATCCAAGACTCCAAGTATGTTATATTATATTCGTTACCAATAAGTAACAATAATATATTGTGTTTCTTGTAGTTTTGTAACGGGCCACGTAACTGGGCCATGCCTAGACCCGGCAACCCATGTGAAATAAGACCTCCCGCAATATCAATCCACGTTATCTCACTGATATATATAATTGTTTTTAGGGAAAATCGCATAAAAAACCTTCAAGATGGCAACCACTTACACTTTAAACCTTGAGAGTATTTTACAAGCACTTTAAACACCCAAGTTGGCAAATTTAGCATATTAAACCTCCAATCTGGCTTACTTGTACATCAAGTTAAAAATGTGACCGGTACTATTCATAAGCGATGACGTGTCGGTTTGTTTAAAAAAAAAAAAAAAAATTTTACTAATAAATAAATATAAAAATACAGAAAATAGAAAATTCATTAAAAAATCATAAAAATTCATTAAAAATTAAAAAAAATCATTAAAAATTCAGAAAAATCATAAACATTAAAAAATCACAAAATAAATAAAATAGTTGATTAATAAAATAGTAAAATAAGAAAAACTTAAAAAATTATAAAAAAATCCCAAAATAAGAAAATTCACAAAATTTTAAATAAAATAAAAATGAAATTTAAATAAAACAAATATAAGAATAATAGATAAAATAAATATTAATTCAAGAAGAAATAATTTTATTTATTTTATAAAAAAATGAGAAAACACTATATATTTTTTTTAAAAGAATCATTATCTTCAAATGATTCTCGTGAACCAAATCAAAGCAAACAAATTAATTTCCAAGTCATTTTGTTCTCATTTTGTTGCTTATTAGTCGAGGTTTTCTGGATTTTATAACTAGATTAATATAGGGTATTTTAATAACTGCTAAAAGACTTGGATTTTAACTTGTTTGCTTTGATTTGGTTCACGAGCATCATTTGATGATACATATCAAATACGATTAGTTATACGATGACATATATATAATATATAATAGTGACACGAAAAACAAATAACAATATAATTTAAAAAAAACTTATGCATGTGAAAGTCTAGGTGCTAAACGACTTGGAATTTAATTTTTTTGCTTTGATTTGTTTCACGAGAATCATTTGAAGATAATGATTCTTTTTTTTTTAAAAAAATATAGTATTTTCTCATTTTTTATAAAACAAATAAAATTATTATTCTTGAATTTATATTTATTTCATCTATTATTCTTATATTAATTTTATTTAAGTTTAATTTTTAATTTATTTAAATTTTGTGAATTTTCTTATTTTGGGATTTTTTAATTTCTTTTAAGTTTTTATTATATTTAATATTTTATTAATAAAATATTTTAATTATTTTGTGATTTTTTAATAATTTATGGTTTTTATGATTTTTTGAATTTTTAATGAATTTTAAATGATTTTTAATGAATTTATATATTTTATGTATTTTTAGATTTATTATTAATAAAATATTAAAAAAAAACCGGCACGTCATCATTTTTGAACAGTACCGGTCACCTTTTTGACTTGATGTACAAGTAAGCCAAATTGGAGGTTTAATATGCTAAATTTGCCAACTTGAATGTTTAAAGTGCTTGTTAAATACTCTCAGGGTTTAAAGTGTAAGTGGTTGCCACCTTGAAGGTTTTTTATGCGATTTTCCCATTGTTTTTATGTTAATAAGACAAGTCCTTTTTCTTTCTTGAAATCAATCTCTGTAAAATAAGATCCTTAACATTAAAAGAGCAAAAAGCTCCAGAGAATAGTACCCTTTTTCATCCACATAATTAAATATTATATTGTTTTAATAAATCAACAAACAGCGCTCGTTCAGCACCTTTGATTAACTAGCTAACCGGACCAACCCAGTCTTAATAATTTCCTCCATGATTTTCACTTTTTAAAAGAACTCAATATTGATTAAAGTCGTAATTACACAGAATAAAAGATTTTTTTAGACTGGGACATTAGTCACTGTAAGTGAAGGCAGTAGTTAATACGCGCTAGAATGAGCGTGAGTGAGTTTTGAATCCACCTGAAAGTACTGTCTGGTCAATAAGTTAAAAGTGCATGGGAAAAATCTTTTGATGCTTTACGTATCAAACGATTCAACATGTATATACACAAACTCACATATGGTCAAAAACTGTATATATGTAACATTTGGTGTGTATATATCCTAGTTTTACCAGATATTAAGCATTTTTATATTTATTTCTATTTTTCTTAGCAGGAATAGTATTTTTTTAAAAAAAAATGGAGGAAGAGAGAAACCAAAAGCCACATCGAGTTTCACGTAAAGACCAGAGCGGGTCCCACCGGAGTTATGGAACGGGTGATGAAGCGGCGCCGAGAGTCAAATGCTCGGGGGAAAGGTGTCGGTCGTGGGCGGCGGCGGTGATCGCAGACTGTGTGGCGCTTTGCTGTTGTCCCTGCGCCGTCGTGAACCTCCTCACTCTTGCCCTCGTTAAGGTCCCGTGGATGCTTGGCCGGAAATGTATGGGCCTGAGTAAGAAGCGGAGGAAAAAGATACACCGTGAGCGTGAGGAACGGTTTCGTCACCACCACCGGGGGTCAGAGACGGTGAAAGGCGTGAGTGGTGGTGGATGTTGCGGCGGAGTGGCCAGAGAGTTCGATGACCACTGGTTTGTGGTGGAGAGAGATGGGAGCCTGACGAAAGAGGAAGAGGAGGAGAAAACGGCGTCGTTAAAGGGAGAGGATGAGGCAAGGGTCAGTGCGAGAGTAGAAGCTGAGAGAGTTTGGTTGGAATTGTATCAGATTGGACACCTTGGCGGCTTTGGTAGAGTCTCTTTCACTCAGTAACATAATTAACTAGGCCCTATAATTTCAAGTACCATATATGTTTTTTTGTGTGTTGTGACATTATTTGGTACAGCAAATGATAAACAATACAATTACATCCAAATCGTAAGTTGTAGAAAAGGTCTTATTTTGGTTATGGCCTAGACCTATATTTTCTTGACGATGATTATTCTTGCGCAAAAAAACATGAACCAAACTAAGAATTTGCAATTAACCAAGGCCAAAACTGAAGCAAAAGCCATTTGTTTTTGACATTTAAAAAGCTAAAGGAAGTATAGCCCATAATAATTTCTGAGTATCAAATCTGCGGAAGTCGGAAATAACACATAATATAAATCGTAAATCCATAAGAAAACAAACAATTCTAGTTTTACATGTCTTTTAACGTAACGTTTCATCGGCCAAAAATAATAATCCAATAAATGTCATATGCTGTAAGAAGTATTCCCCCAATAAACACCTCATCACTTGGGCAGGCTCGAGCTCGTTTGCTCATTTATCTGTGTTTCAACATGGTCTCGTGGAAGCTGCGAGGAGGAGATCCATTGGAAGAGGGTGGTGGAGCTCTGTTGAATCTCTCCGGGCTACGACTCCTTTCACGCTCTCTTCCCCATCCATTACTGCTTCTGCTTCCCATTCCACTGCTTATTATACAAATCTCTAACAAGTCAGAATCGTATATTTTCTTCTGCAACCCACAAAATCAAAGTTATATCTTGTTTTTTTAATTATTTACCTGTCACGTGAACCGAAGCTCCCTCTGCCACCATAACCAGAGTCGCCGCCACGACCACCACGACCTCCAGGAGGACCCCAACGGTTGAATTTGTTCATTCCACCACCACCACGTGCTGCCATTTCGCGGATCTGAGGAGGAACTCTCTGGTCTGCTCCTTCCAAGATCTTGATCAGATCCGCAGCATGCTTCGAGTCTTGATCGCCAAAGAATGTGAAGGCCTGACCAGTCGCTCCAGCTCTTCCCGTTCTTCCGATTCTGTGCACATAGTCTTCCACTCCATTGGGAAAATCATAGTTTATGACCGCCCTGTAATCCAACAATTTTGTGTTATCATGTTGTCCAAGAGGATTCGAATTTTGGTTAAATATTACAAGAGATATATATATATATACCTGATGTCCTTGACGTCCAGTCCACGAGCAGCAACATCAGTTGCAACAAGAACCGGAGTCCTGCCGCTGCGGAATTGATTCAGAACACTGTCTCTCTCAGGCTGGGACTTGTCTCCATGTATAGCAGCAGCTCCAAATTGGCGGTTTATGTTGCGAGTTAGTTGGTCACACATCCTTTTGGTTGAGCAGAATATTATCACCTTCGAGCCTGGTTCCTGAGACCTCAATATCTGCTCTAACCTCTTCTGTTTCTCCATCGGTGCTACCACTTCAATGTGCTGTGTCCAGAAAGACACAACAATCACATTAAATTTTGAATCAAGACCATGATAGCAATGGTATCAAGGCAAGCCATACCTGTGTGATGGACTTGTTAGCCACAAGCTCGTCAACATTGCCAATGTTGACCTGAGCAGGGTTAACAAGCAAGTCAGCTGCAATTTTCCTGACTCCCTTTGGCCATGTAGCTGTGTACATAAGGGTTTGACGCTTGGTGGGAATCTCTTTCACAATCTTCCTTATCTGCGGTTCGAAACCCATGTCCAACATTCTATCAGCCTCATCTAGCACTAGATAAGATACTTGGCGTAGACTAATTCTTCTCATCTCAAGGATATCATTCAATCGTCCAGGAGTCGCAACCACGATATCTGCTCCTCTTTCTAAATCCCTAAGCTGAGGACCTTTTGGGGCACCACCATACAAGCACTGAAAAGTAGAAAACAAGAGCTCTACATTAGAGGAGTACTAAACAAGTAGCACGTTGACAAGTTCCAAAAATCAGTGACGTTTACTTACCGTACACGAAATTCTTGACGACCTCCCAAATTTAACAGCTTCGTCTTGGATTTGTGTGGCCAGCTCCCTCGTTGGAGACAATACCAAGATTGTTGGGCCCATTCGCGAATCATTACGGATGCGTTGAAGATGCATGAAACCAGGAATCAAGTAACCCAAAGTTTTTCCCGAGCCAGTTTTAGCAATGGCTACTATGTCCCTACCTTGCATCGCAATTGGCCACGACTGAGCTTGAATTGGAGTTGGGGCAGAGAAACCTGCACTGAGTACCTAAGAAAGCAAAGAACCAGGAGGTCCAATGAGAAGAGGAGCACCAAGGTTGTAGTTGGCTTATGGAAAGGTGGCTCATGTCAGAAGAAGCACCATCCTCCATTTGCAGGCGGCAAAAGGTTACAGATGAAACCTGCAGCAGGAGGACGCCTTTTCTTCTGTCTGGACCCGGTGGTGAAATGAATCATCACACCGTTAACAGGCCCGGTCACAAGCTTTCATGATTTTGGAAGTCCTTCCCAAAAAATTTGGTCCACCATAAAGGCTACTCCAAATAGTTTGCAAGGACCTCAAAGTAGTAGTACAGTGTACGACATTGGCTCCTCACAGGAGCGAACATCGCACCTGGGGAAAACAAAAAAAAAAAGAGAAAAAGAGTGCATACGACATAAACTTTGAAGCTAAATATTAAACCTAAAGTGACTTTAATATGGCCACAAAATAAGTCTAATATAAGGTCAACCTAGCTAGCTCCATAAATTAGATCACAGCATAAAACTCTACATAGATCCAACAGCTAATTTGACAGCTAAGAAAATAAGTTTGAGGATTCATTAGTCATTTTCAATTAAGTACAAAAAAATAAAATTCTTACCTCACGCAGAAGCTCAGGAGGAAAACCAGTAGTTTCAAAGGACATTAGAGGCGGTGGTACTTGGCCCCCCTGAAGAAAGGAGAGGAACAAAAACCAGTTAAAATATATATATATAATCTAAAGTAAGCTGATTGAGATGAACACAGTGAAAGATATGTATTTTACTAAATGAAATAAAAGGTTGCGCAGCAGCAGATACTTACGCTGACAGTAATTTCATGACGGCGGCAATAGGCGTCGGGGGAAATATCATGAACTGGAGCTGATGAGGGAGGAGGACCTCTTGCAGAATTCCCAAGTCCATTCGAATAGGGCGCTCCACTCCTGTCAACCTTTGAGAAAGTTTCACATGTGCCAAAAGAAAAACGTCAAAAATTCATCATCGACGACAAGGGATCAAATGAATGCTAGAGAAAGAGAAGAAAAAGGGGTTAAGCACCTGATTAAACCTGGAGGCAGAGTCAACCTTAGGTGCAAGGACAGTGCCTCTACGGTACTGAACATCATCCTTGCTACCACCAATTGGTAGGGAAACGGAGGAGCTAACAGAGAGCTTGGTGGATGGTCTGTCATACTGAGTAACGTTGGTGTCAGGATTCCAAAAGTACAAGTAGCCAGTACCATCATCCACAAGACCCTTCCAAGGCTTGGGAAGAGATTGATCCTCCGGTGCGTAACGGACTGCTGAAGCGGTTGCAGCCATAGATAGCAATCAATCAAACGGTTCTGCAAATGTAAAGACAGATTCGTTTAAGTGGGCAAATCAACATCACTATCAGGAGGAATATAAGCCCTAACAACAATGAACGAGCCTGAGTAACAAGACAATCTCCCCCAAGTGAAAGTCTAAAGATAATAATACCCAAACATCAAAGTTCAAAATAGATAGAATCCATCATCACAATCTCACAGATCAAAGGAAGAACAAGGTAGGTACCTCTGGATTCGATAGAGGAATGGAAATGGTGAATAGATCCAAACCCGGAGATACGCTTTTTGTTCTTTCTCTCTCTCTAAATATCTACGACGTCCACAAACAAAGAAGACGCGTAGAGAAGAGAGAGAGAGTGAGAGTGAGGCGCAACGCGTTCCGCTAGGTTTTTATAAACCAACCAGAAATATCTATGAACGTGTCGCTTCCTTCTATTTTTGGGCCTTTGTCTGGACTCAAGGCCCGTGCTGTCTAAGCTGATTTAAATTTCTTGAGTTTTGCAGTTGGCTTTCTCATCATGAGAGCTTATTGAATTGGCTGTCAAGCTGAAGCCTCAAGTCATATCTATGTGATGTTTTCTACTTTCAGGCTATCAGTTTTCTTTCGGAAATTTTCATTTCAATCTCGGAATCTTCACTTTAATTGTTACTCAAAATAGTGTACAACTTGCCTTGTAGCTACTACTTTGTTTTGTTTGCCTCAACTTTTCTAATATGTATGATTCGTAAAATTTTACTATTTACAGACAAGATACAAAGAAAAGAAAAAAAAAGAAGAGGAAAAGCTGTATATAACTTATTCATCTATAAGTCAGTTTCTCTAATGCAGTTCCCAGGTAACAAGTACTTGTAACTGTCAGCGTTCTGGATCAGATATCCAGGGAGGTGAACAGCTGAGTAAGACCTCGGTATCGGACCTAGTTTCCCTATTATCTCTCTGAAAGTGTGTTCTTCCGGAAACATATCAAAAAGATCATTTCCTTTGCATATCACATCTTGTATCCGTTCCGGGTTTAGGTAATGTAAGAATCTAACACGGTCAGTATGGCTGTAGGCTTTCATCTTGAACACGAAATCTTTGATGTGTCTGAAACAGAAGCTGCAATGCCAGCCTGAATCTGTCAGAAGACTGTCGCTCTGCCTGAAATGAGCGTACCTGGTCTTCCCAGGCTTGTAGAGATGGATGGAAGCTCTCCAGCTTTTGTTATCGACATAGTACTCATACGAGTAGAGGTAGTTTCTCAGCTGAAGGTGGAGGACCGGTGGATATCCCTCACACCATCTCAGCAAATTTATGGTATGACCGCTTGGGATCTCGTCCACATCCGACATGATCAAAAGATCATCTTCTTTTACACCCGCGAGCTTGATCAACTGGTCCAGTGCGAGCCTTTGGAATGATTCTTCCACAAACGGGTTCTCTCCTTTCTTGAACCTTCTTCCTCCTCCTACGTTCCCATATGCCAGCCTTGACTCTGCAAATTTGAACCTCTCGTGCCGGTTATCTGCGAAAGCCAAGGGTTTTGAGAGTCCCGTGAAAGTGGAGTTTGATTCGAGAAGCACAAACTGCGTGATGTAAGGATCTAACTCCTTCCAACGGATGCTCAGCATATCAATCTCGTTGCTGAACAAGACAGCATCAATGACTCTTCTTGGAGAATCTCGGATTTTCCAGCCGTGAAGACTGCAGAGCAACTCCATGGAGGTGTTTTGGTGGTAGTAGTGGGGAAGGATGTTAAATGGTTTGGGTGGTGAATCCCAGAGAGGTCTGAAGAAATATGTGATCTTCTGTCCGTGTATATAGATACCGAAAAGGGAGAGAGGGAAGATGATGAAGAGTAATAGATACGTTTTCAAATCGAATCCCCGAAAAATACATCTGAGCCTTGATATGATGGCCTTGCCTGCTCGAGAGCCCCCCTCCTGTAGGTAAAAGAAACCATACAAACTGAGACATGACACTTTTCAAAAATGCAACAAGCTATTCATAACGTAAGAAGGAAAGGTCAGTATCCTTGTGAAGAATCTAAAGGTTCTCTCTCCAGTACATTTTACATTAACAATGACACAAACCGTAAGAAAATACTTTTTTTTCTAGCCAATGAAGATCTATAATTTATGGGTATTAATTTCTTCAAGATCACAAAATCAGTGCAAAATCATCCAATCACCTTCTCTAAGTAGTAAATGATCCAGATATAGGATTTAGAATCAAAGAGCCAAATATATAAGCCTTTGAGGCTAATGAAAGGGATGAGAAAAACGATGCAAGAAGTTAACCTGTTCACAAACATGTTGTGCGGAGATGTTATCTGTCTTCTTAGAACTACAATAAGGTCCATCAGAGGACATGATTATATTTATTTGAGTTTTTTTCGACCAAGTTTTATCAGGAATGTCGGATTCCCTCTATGCCTTAAAAATCTAGAAGAATACAACCCAAAGAGAAAAACACGAAAGAGAGAAAGAGAGAGATGTCTGGGAGGAAATATGAAGAAATACGAGAAAATCTCTCTAAATAAATGGATACATCTCCAATTGTAACACCCATTTATAGCCGTTGGGTACCTTTTTAGCTTTTCCACATCTTATAGTCTAGAATTAGAAACATTATTTAAGTCCGATTGATAATTTAAGTTGCTGTAATAATTAGGACAGAAGGCTGAGTCAGCAAAATCTAAACTTGTTCTCAATGCTGAGAAGAAGCTTGGTATTGTTGCTGGTCTTCAGGATTGGGTCTATGGTGGTCTTGTTCACATGGTCAGTTGTCAAATCCATAGCCTTTGGTGTTACACCATTTCCAGTCATGACTTTTTTCCATCTTCACTTTTAGTAAGGAAACACATGCATGGATAAACTGGGGCATGGGATTTCCACTCACTCCTATGGGTATCACTCTCCTTCCGCCTTTGCATCTCATCTATACTGAGAACCCAATCGACTCTTTGAAGGTATTCTTATCGCTGATTTGGTTTCCCTTACTTTCATTTACTGGAGAAGCTAGTTGTTTTCAGCGTTAAGGACTAAAACTCAGTCACAGCTGAGTCACATTATTCGTTTTCACAGCTTTCATGCTGCAGGTACATACATAGTACAGTTCGGCAAAGATGGTTAGATGGTGATGAGTTGATAATCACATAAATGGAACAAGTTGGAAACCTAGCAGAAGAAGGTCGAACTGCAGTACTCAAAAAGGATCATTCCAAGCTCGTGGAACTCATGAACCGTAACTTCGACCTCCCGAGGCTAAAATCTGATTTTATAGGATTGGAAACTCCATGTGTGCTCACAATTTATTATTGTTCAGTGCGTATGAGGATGTTTGGGGACGAATGCTTAGGAGCGATGAACATAGAGATGGTAGAAGTTGCCAGGAGGGTTGGTACATGCAGCTTCAAAGTTCTGGAAGCGGAAGAGCAGTGGTGCTTTTCTGTCCTAAGGGCCATCTCAGGTAAAGCTTTTGGATCCGCCAACCGGGATTTGAATGATTCCGACATTCAAAGCCTTGACTAAGTCCACCAGAAGAACTCATTTCGAAGTTTTATAAAACATGTGATTAGTTGTTACGGCGGGGTTAAATCACATATTTAAAAAAAAACTAAAAAAATGATATTTTTGTTTTAATACATAGATGCATCATGTACTGACATAGTATGAAAATTAAAGAGGTTTGAGACCTTATGTGTTCCCATCTTTCTCTAAAATAGAGATTTTATAGGGGTTTGTCCACTACTTAGATAGTATATGGAGTTTAAATAAATTACTTGTTGAAAAATTATAAATGATGCTCATCTATTATATTAAAAGAGAAGTCACCCTTTCACTTTATGTGTGATCTTTAAAAAAATTGGACCTTTCCTAGAACTCATACTTTAATACATTAGATTATCACTTACAATATAACTCCATGAATTCGTAAATTTAATGACACCTAAGCCTAAAATTACGGTTCAGTTACCCAACATTTCGTTCATTATTGAATTACATATGACCATCATTGTATCTAACAGTAAATGTACATTTGAATCGTTTAAAAATACCCTTTCATCGGACCTAACAGTACATTAAATTCATATACATTTGAATATATGTGATTATAATATATATCACCCTTAAAGTAAAAACACAATGTCTATGTAAATAAATATGAAAATTAACATCCGCGCGGTTGCGCGGATCTGTATCTAGTGTACCATTAAAATACGTTTAGTATACATCAATATGCATTTAGAGTGTGGTTTTATATTTTTTAAAACAACATTAAAGAGCCTATACTTAAATATATATAAAATTTATCAAAAAATCAATCTTTTCGTATGGGTTTACCCACCTGTTTCAAAGAAAACTAAAAAATGATATTTTTGTCTTAAAGCATAGATGCATCATGCACTGACAGAGTATGAAGATTAAAGAGGTTTGAGACCTTATGTGTTCCCATTTTTCTATAAAATAGAGATCTTATAGGGGTTAGTCCACTAATTAGGTCGTATATGGAGTTTAAATAAATTACCTGTTGGAAAATTAGAAATGATGCCCATGTACCATTAAAATACGTTTACTATACATCAATAAGCATTTAGAGTGTGGTTTTATATTTTTAAAACAACATTAAAGAGGCTAAACTTAAGTATATATAAAATTTATCAAAAATTCAATCTTTTCGTAGGGGTTACCCACATATTTCAAAGAAAACTAAAAAATGATATTTTTGTTTTAATGCATAGATGCATCATGCACTGAAAGAGTATGAAGATTAAAGAGGTTTGAGATCTTATGTGTTCCCATTTTTTTATAGAATAGAGATTTTATAGGGATTAGTCCACTAATTAGGTCGTATATGGAGTTTAAATAAATTACTTGTTGGAAAATTAGAAATGATGCCCATGTACCATTAAAATATGTTTAGCATACATCAATATGCATTTAGAGTGTGGTTTTATATTTTTAAAACAACATTAAAGATGCTAAACTTAAGTATATATAAAATTTATCAAAAATTCAATCTTTTCGTAGGGGTTATCCCACATATTTCAAAGAAAACTAAAAAAAATGATATTTTTGTTTTAATGCAAAGATGCATCATGCACTGACATAGCATGAAGATTAAAGAGGTTTGAGACCTTATGTGTTCCCATTTTTCTTTAAAATAAAGATTTTATAGGGGTTAGTCCAGTACTTAGATCGTATATGGAGTTTAAATAAATTACTTGTTGGAAAATTAGAAATGATGCTTATGTACCATTAAAATACATTTAGTATACATCAATATGCATTTAGAGTGTGGTTTTATATTCTTAAAACAATATTAAAAAGGCTAAACTTAAATATATATAAAATTTATCAAAAAATCAATCTTTTCGTAGGGGTTAACCCACATATTTCAAAGAAAACTAAAAAATATGATATTTCTGTTTTAATGCATAGATGCATCATGCACTGGTATATTATGAAGATTAAAGAGGTTTGAGACCTTATGTGTTCCCATTTTTCTCTAAAATAGAGATTTTATAGGGGTTAGACCACTAATTAGGTCGTATATGGAGTTTAAATAATTTACTTGTTGGAAAATTAGAAATGATGCCCATGTACCATTAAAATACGTTTAGTATACATCAATATGTATTTAGAGTGTGGTTTTATATTTTTAAAACAATAGTAAAGAGGCTAAACTAAAGTATATATAAAATTTATCAAAAATTCAATCTTTTCGTAGGGGTTAACCCATATATTCCGAAAAAAACTAAAAAAAATGATATTTTTGTTTTAATGCATAGATGCATCATGCACTGACATAGTATAGAGATTAAAGAGGTTTGAGACATTAAGCGTTCCCATTTTTCTCGAAAATAGAGATTTTATATAGGTTATTCCACTACTTAGGTAGTATATGGAGTTTAAATAAATTACTTGTTGAAAATTAGAAAAGATGCTCATGTACCATTAAAATACGGTTAGTATACATCAATATGCATTTATAGTTTGTTTTTATATTTTTAAAACAACATTAAAGAGGCTAAACTAAAGTATATATAAAATTTATCAAAAAATCAATCTTTTCGTAGGGGTTAACCCACATATTTCAAAGAAAACTAAAAAAATGATATTTTTGTTTTAATGCATAGATGCATCATGCACTGACATAGTATGAAGATTAAAGAGGTTTGAGACCTTAAGTGTTCCCAATTTTCTCTAAAATGGAGATTTTATAGGGGTTATTCCATTACTTAGGTAGTATATGGAGTTTAAATAAATTACTTGCTGGAAAATTAGAAATGATGCTCATGTACCATTAAAATACGTTTAGTATACAACAATATGTATTTAGAGTGTGGTTTTATAATTTTAAAACAACATTAAAGAGGCTAAACTAAAGTATATATAAAATTTATCAAAAATTCAATCTTTTCGTAGGGGTTAACCCACATATTTCAAAGAAAACTAAAAAAATGATATTTTTGTTTTAATGCATAGATGCATCATGCACTGACATAGTATGAAGATTAAAGAGGTTTGAGACCTTAAGCGTTCCCATTTTTCTCTAAAATAGAGATTTTATAGGGGTTTGTCCACTACTTAGGTAGTATATGGAGTTTAAATAAATTACTTGTTGGAAAATTAGAAATGATGGGCATGTACCATTAAAATACGTTTAGTATAGATCAATATGCATTTGGAGTTTGTTTTTATATTCTTAAAACAACATTAAAGAGGCTAAACTAAAGTATATATAAAATTTATCAAAAATTCAATCTTTTCGTAGGGGTTAACCCACATATTTCAAAGAAAACTAAAAAAATGATATTTTTGTTTTAATGCATAGATGCATCATGCACTGACATAGTATAAATATTAAAATGGTTTGAGACCTTATGTGTTCCCATTTTTCTATAAAATAGAGATCTTATAGGGGTTAGTCCACTAATTAGGTCGTATATGGAGTTTAAATAAATTACCTGTTGGAAAATTAGAAATGATGCCCATGTACCATTAAAATACGTTTAGTATACATCAATAAGCATTTAGAGTGTGGTTTTATATTTTTAAAACAACATTAAAGAGGCTAAACTTAAGTATATATAAAATTTATCAAAAATTCAATCTTTTCGTAAGGGTTACCCACATATTTCAAAGAAAACTAAAAAATGATATTTTTGTTTTAATGCATAGATGCATCATGCACTGAAAGAGTATGAAGATTAAAGAGGTTTGAGATCTTATGTGTTCCCATTTTTCTATAGAATAGAGATTTTATAGGGGTTAGTCCAGTAATTAGGTCGTATAGGGAGTTTAAATAAATTACTTGTTGGAAAATTAGAAATGATGCCCATGTACCATTAAAATATGTTTAGCATACATCAATATGCATTTAGAGTGTGGTTTTATATTTTTAAAACAACATTAAAGATGCTAAACTTAAGTATATATAAAATTTATCAAAATTCAATCTTTTCGTAGGGGTTATCCCACATATTTCAAAGAAAACTAAAAAAATGATATTTTTGTTTTAATGCATAGATACATCATGCACTGGCATAGCATGAAGATTAAAGAGGTTTGAGACCTTATGTGTTCCCATTTTTCTTCAAAATAAAGATTTTATTGGGGTTAGTCCACTAATTAGATCGTATATGGAGTTTAAATAAATTACTTGTTGGAAAATTAGACATGATGCTTATGTACCATTAAAATACGTTTAGTATACATCAACATGCATTTAGAGTGTGGTTTTATATTCTTAAAACAATATTAAAAAGGCTAAACTTAAATATATATAAAATCTATCAAAAAATCAATCTTTTCGTAGTGGTTAACCCACATATTTCAAAGAAAAGTAAAAAATATGATATTTTTGTTTTAATGCATAGATGCATCATGCACTGGCATATTATGAAGATTAAAGAGGTTTGAGACCTTATGTGTTCCTATTTTTCTCTAAAATAGAGATTTTATAGGGGTTTGTCCACTACTTAGGTAGTATATGGAGTTTAAATAAATTACTTGTTGGAAAATTAGAAATGATGCCCATGTACCATTAAAATACGTTTAGTATACATCAATATGAATTTAGAGTGTGGTTTTATATTTTTAAAACAACATTAAAAAGGCTAAACTTAAGTATATATAAAATTTATCAAAAGTTCAATCTTTTCGTAGGGGTTATCCCACATATTTCAAAGAAAACTAAAAAAATGATATTTTTGTTTTAATGCATAGATGCATCATGCATTGACATAGCATGAAGATTAAAGAGGTTTGAGACCTTATGTGTTCCCATTTTTCTTTAAAATAAAGATTTTATAGGGGTTAGTCCACTAATTAGATCGTATATGGAGTTTAAATAAATTACTTGTTGGAAAATTAGACATGATGCTTATGTACCATTAAAATACGTTTAGTATACATCAATATGCATTTAGAGTGTGGTTTTATATTCTTAAAACAATGTTAAAAAGGCTAAACTAAAGTATATATAAAATTTATCAAAAATTCAATCTTTTCGTAGAGGTTAACCC